GTAAAATATAGAACTTCTTTTCTCTCAGTTCGTATAAAGCATATATATGCACTTAAATATCTATGTACTGTTGCGGAATTATATTTCAGTGTACTTTCTGGGTCCCACTTTTGTACATCTGGCAACCAATCAAAGTAAACATAGCGTAAATAGTATTTTTGTGAGTGAGGCTAAAACCCTGGGTATTTTGTAATAAAGTGTGTGATTGGTCGAATGTAAATAACCAATGAGTATATTAATTAATATTTTTTTAAACTAAGCCATTTAATCTTCCGTTTTCTTCAAAAAGTTATTAAAAAAACGTAATACTAGTTATCGTTGATTTTGTAGTTGGATATTCCTCAAATGCGATATCCTCGCATTGTTTGTTTATCGAAACGGCAACACCGATGGCGTGGAGGCGGCATTTCCCCAGTCTTCCGACACAAGAAGTATCAATGATTTTAGCTTCATGCTTTAAATATCTCTGTATAGCAGCAAAATCAAACAAAAATGTGCCAAAGATCTTTGTAAATACTTCTCGTAGCTGCACCATAATCGATCTAGTAAAATATACGTTTTTCCTCTTTGCCAGAACCAAACACTTATTTTGAATAAACAGAAATGATGCTACATTATATTCTTCTTTACAGAATGCATAGATTCTTCATCATTGTGTGTGTGTGTGTGTGTGTGTGTGTGTGTGTGTGTGTGTGTGTGTGTGGCGTCCATGGAAATACGAAGTCACTGCTTAGTGACGAGTTATGAAACTATATTTAATTCGTTACGGTATTCAGAATGTCCTTTATCTTGTGCTAAAATCTGATATTTTTTTCTGTTATTATTCCGTAAGTCTTGACGTTTTTAGAAGGAGGCGCATCCACATTCGATCAGTTGAGCGAGAAAATACAAGTTCGCTTGTTTCAACTCAAGTAACTACAAGCTAGGGGGTTCCAAAGAGGGTGAACAGCAAAAGTCAAAGAACCGACTCTCATTACAGGAGCTGTATATCAGATATTTTGATGAAGAAAAAAAAATCGTTTGAATTAATATCAATATCTTGCTCTTTACTTTTATATGTTGTTTATGCAGTTTTTTATTTTCCTTCTTTTTGTCAATACACGCTTGTTTACAGTGTATGTGTATGTGTAGAAAAAAACTCTTGTCTTTTATCACAAAATATAATCAAGGTTTTTATATGTCATGTTCATTGTGAACTAATAGATCAGATCTAGGCACGGATTCAATAAACATACAATAAGAATCATTTTAGAATATTAACTGAACGCAAAACCGTGGTCGGGTTAACCAAGCCTCAACGATGTGTGTATGTATTGTGTGTGAAAGAACTGCAATTATACAGTTTTTAACGCGTTAGTTAGAATCTTTTGTTTTATATTTCACACATTTTGAGCCCCTTCGCACACAAAACGCCATGCCATGTAGTTGATAACTAAGACACTCACACACACACACACACACACACACATATATATATAATTATTTATTTTTATTTTTTCATAGATGATGGGGGATGTTTATTAATTTTGGAGATACTTTTACTAAAAATGGTAAGAACTGTAGAAAGGGGAGACAAATAGTAATGTTTATGATGGGAAATATGTATTGTTATTCAAACGGTGTCTAATCCCTGAGACAGAGGTGACGTGTTCACATGCAACGTCTCGATTTCTATCAGCTGGTTCGAGGTTGCTTCATTAGCCGTTTCTCAGACATTGACAATATTCGGCCAAACATTTTTCGTCGGGTTTGAGCGACATCCCTCGCTTGGCCATCGAAGGCCTTCCACGTGGTGTTAGGCAGGGAACTACTTCCTAACTCTTCTGGACGCGTGTATAGGGCAGTTATGCTCATTGTTTCTGGGAAGGGCCAAGGCATAACAGTGTACTGATGGGAGGATTTTTTTTCTAACAATTCGATATATTTGTCTGAGGCATTTTCCCCGTTTCGCCAACATCATGTAGGGAGATCCACCCCCACATATCGCAGGTCACGCGGCCGCGCCTCGCCGTTGTATATATAATTTGTCTGTCATATATGAAATGTAAATAATGATATAGAATCTGAACATGAAATATGACGTGTAGGGCACTGTTCTGTATAAACAAATATCTATATTGTAAATTGAAATAAATCGATTTCTGAAATATTGAAAAGGGCTAACATTTACACCTTTAATTCCCTTCAGCAATGGAGCTTTCCGTGTATTCCCGGTGTATTTTGGTCGTTATGGGTGCCCTCCTTTTCCCACCCTGTCTGCCTGTACACCATCGTCCGGGAGATGCGCAGCTCTCCGAATATATCACCGTTGGAGAAGTTACTTTCCCTCACCCCATTGTCAAAAGTCAGAGTTGGTCCCATATCCATCTGGACGTAAGGGACATGTTTTGTAGAGAAACATGCTTTCTAAGCCGCGGGATGATGCGGTAGGGTGACCTGTTCCTTTCTGCCCCGACTTTGACCCTAGCATGCTGACGTCGGCATAACAGTGCTCATTCAC